ATCCTGAAATTTTTGGAGAACTTAGATAAAGGTACGAGAGTTATTATTACAAAATTTTATCTTTTTTGATAACCAAATCGCTGTCTTATAAGCTCGCGCCAAAACGGCCCCGCGCCAAAACGGCCCAGTCCCGGAAATTAATGGGGGGAGAGAGGGAAGGAATTTTTTAAGAAGGAAATTAGCCTTCAAACTACAAAAATCCTTTGTCAACGCCTACTCGAAGATTAAAGATTATTCAAAGCTGTTGAATTCATTTAATATAAAAGCCCATTTAAATTAGCACTTAGAAACATTCAGAACATTCCAAATATTCATTTAGCCAAAGAAAAACTTTAAAAATGTCAAAATTCTTTTTTGCCCTTGTAATAGTCGCTATTGTTTTTATTCATTGTTGTGATGCTAATAGAGAGGGGGAGAAGAAGAGGGGACGGAAAACTTTAAACAAACTAAATTCACTCCCTCGGTCTTCTTACCCCGGTCATGCTAATGGTTTCTAAATTAAATTCTTTAACACATTAAAAAATTTTATAAACGTTAAAACGTTCAAAACCGTTTAACATAATAATCAAAGAAAGTTTTTTAGGTTTTTACTAGAGATCGGAAATTTTGAAAAGCCTGGACCTGTTCCTGGGTTTGATTTATTGACCTGGGCCGGGTCATGGGCCTGTAGTCCAGGAAAAACCCAGGCCCAGGAAAAACCCAAGAAGGTCAAAAAAAATGCCTGGGCCTGGACTCTGGGTACAGGAAAAACCCAGGCCTTGGTCCAGACCCAGGCCGATCTCTAGTTTTTAAAAAATATTTTTTTTAAATATTTTTAAAAAAAAATATTTCCCCTGTTTAAAACTAAAAATCTATTTCGGCCTTTATGAACCTAAAAAACTCTCTAATAATAACTGTAAAGTTTTTTTGTTTGACTGTTAAACTTTTCTGATGATTACAAAATTAAGTTTCTTATATTCAATGGACCCTTTAAATTTAAAATATATGTATATTTCTAAAAATAATAAAAAAAATTTAAGTTGAAGAGCCTATAAAACCTGATAGCGATGATGAGGTATTTTTTAAATTAAATAATTTAATTTTCTAAATAAAATTTTAAATTTAGGACATTTATGCAGATCCGCCAGGTCAAAGAACTCGTATGTTTTTAATAAATCATAGGAAAGATTAATATTTCTAAAAATTTTCTTAACAAATAATTTAATTTTTGAACAGGTAAAATGGAAGATTTAGTAAAGAATGCGCCAAAAGGAAAGAATTGAGGAGAAGAATTGTTAACGGAAAAATTTTTTGATTTTTAAAGAAAATCCGATACATTCAGTCATATTTTTATTTAAAATTTTTCTTTTCTAACATGACTAAAATTTGCCTTTTTCTATAAATTGACTTGAAAACACTGATTTATTAGGCTATAGTAACTAGGGATTTGAATCCCTTCAAATTTATTTCTCCTTAAATTTGAAGTCCCTCCAAATTTAGTTTTCCAAAAAAAAATATTTCGAATTTATCCTCATTGCTCCCCCGAGGATTCCCTCCAAATCCGTCAAAGTTTCCTTTGATTGAATTATTTTTGATAATAACTCAATCAAAACTTTGAAACTTTTGAAAAAATTTTCGGCATACCCATGTCAAGTCAATATATCACGGCATCGAATCTGAGTCTCCCGTTAAGTCTGTTTGGATAAAATTTTCTTTTATAAATTTCCGCTTCTATTTTATTGTTTTTGGCGTTGTGTAATTATTACTGTACCGAATTACTATAAAAGCTTTTTTAAAATTCAAGATCCTTCAAAAACGATTTTTTGACTTGATTTTTTTGTTTGTTTGGATGTTTGTTTTTCTTGTTTATGGGTGATATTTCTTTTTGTTCCGTCTAGTAACTTGCGGGACTGGATTCCGCTCCCCGGATTGGTACTTATTTATTTCTCCCCCCCCCCCCCCTCTCCCAGTCAATTTTTTGGTAAATATGTAAAAAATGGAGTCATAGGTTATAAAACTCGTCGAGTTGTCGACTGTCACCAAAATCAACTCCCAGTCTTAACTTTGGACTAAGATAAAGACATTTAGGGAAATTCCCAATGCGGGGTTTTGCAAAAACGACGTTGCCGGGTTTTTTTAATCTTTTTGTCTAAACTTTTTGATTATTTATTTTTAAGTATTTTTGGCTTTCTTTCAATTAAGTTTTAGAATGTTGTGACTTATAGGGGGTTTTTGTTGGCTGGACCGATTTGGACAAAAGTGGTGTCATTCGAAAGAGCTCGCCGAGCTGAGTCGATCGCGGGGTGAGAGAAGTCGATCGGACAAACAGGGACCGAGATACAGACCCCTGAAGTTTGAAAAAGAGAAGGGGGGAGTAAGCTCATTTTGGGGTAAAAAATTCGAAAATGCATATAATAGCTCATTCGACTCAGCTCGTCGAGCTGAGTCGAATGAAACCAAAATCAGCTCGATATCTTGATTCTGAGCCAAGATAAACAGGTTCAAAATGGTCAACATAAACCTATGGAGCGTCGGCGAGGCGCTTGTGCGAAACCCCGCGCTTCGCGCGGGGTTTCGCGGCACGCGCCTCGCGGGGAGTCTACGGTCGCTGGGCTCTGGGTCAGTAACATAAACCTATTCCTATCTCCCTTGCTCTGGATGTACTTGGAGCCCCAGTAGCAGAAAAACCTCCACAGATGCCATAGGTAAGGAGCTAAAACAAACGAACATAACTTTGTCAAATCAAGTCAGATTTCATTGATTTTAGTGTCATTCGACTCAGCTCGACTAGCTGAGTCGAATGAGCTATTATTTACATTTTTGAATTTTTCACCCCAAAATGAGCTTACTCCCCCCTTCTCTTTTTCAAACTTCAGAGGTCTGTATTTCGGTCCCTGATTGTCGGATCGACTTCTCTCACCCCGCGATCGACTCAGCTCGGCGAGCTCTTTCGAATGACACCGCATTTGTCCAAATCGGTCCAGCCAACAAAAACCCCCTATAAGTCACAATATCCAAGTTTTATTTAATTCAAAAATGAGTTCAATCGGTACTGGTTACGATTTGGATGCTTCTTCATTTTCACCTGATGGACGTGTTTTTCAAGTTGAATATGCAGCTAAAGCTGTTCAAGCAAGTGTGACTGTTATTGCTTTAAGTAGTAAAAAGGGAGTTGTTGTTGCTGTTGATCAACCAATTCAGTCAAAGCTTGAGATTGAGGTTTTTTAATCTTAAAAATTAGAGAAATTTGCTTTTTTGTGGGCATTTTTTGTGTATTAACGGCAGGCCGAAACTTGCGGACCTACTTTTGCGGACCGAAACTTGCGGACCCGACGAACTTCTCAAAACATAGCTCATTCGAATGAGCTCGACGAGCTGAGTCGAATGACATCAAAATCATCGTGATTGTACAAGCTTGGACAAAGTTACGATAGAAAAACAAAAACCTATGGTCCGCAAAAGTCGGTCCGCAAGTTTCGCATTACCAGTTGTTGATAGGCCATAGGGTGATGAGATCTGCCTAAACGATACTTCTAACTTCACCTCAGTTTGCGTAACTTTCGTCCACACGGGTGTACAATCAAGAGATTTGACTTTTCAACCAAATTTTATTTTTAAGGGAGCAAATAGTCGTATTATGCGAATTAATAATAAAATTGGATTTGTTGGATCTGGTCTTTTTCCTGACGTTTTTGCTATTTGTAATTGGGCTAGAGAAGAGGATAACAAAAACTACAAAGAAATGGATAAACATATTTCTGTTAAAAAGCTTGCTGACCTGGTTTATTTTTTGAAAAATAAAATTTTAATTTTCTTTTTTAATTTAAGGTTGCTCAGTATTTCCATTATTTTACACTTGCTACAGACCGGCCTTTTGGAGCTTCTGTTTTTATAACTTCTTGGGACCAAAAGGTGAAATTAAATTCGTATAAATTTTTTTTCTAATTTCCTTTTAAGGAGGGCTCGTCAATTTATTGCATTGAGACATCTGGGCAATGTTACAAATATTTTGGATGGGTTATTGGGTTAGTTTTGTAGTTGACACTTCGGTACCTGTTTCTTTAATTACACGCCCCATTTAGTCGCAAGACTGCAAACAAGACCACACTCACAAGGGAACTTTCCGAACAATCAGTAAAAAATTTTTAATAAAAATTATACCATTGTGTAGAGTAGTCGAAAACCTATTATGTTTCCGGCTTTTTTGTATCTGACCCCATTTCGAAAGGTTATAGGGTTCCAAAGTTTTCGGCTTTTAGAGCGATCCGTCTCCCTCATTAAGAGAAATTTTTCTCTTTCTAAAGAGAAAAATGAGACTCGTCTTCTCCTTTTTCCTATGTTATTGCGTAAAAAGCTGTTGGCTCTTGCCGATAAATTTTTTACTTTTTTAGACGAGGCTGCTGACTCTCGCCGACTTCTATAGGGTTATTTGACTTACGAATAAATAGGGTGCTTTACGAAGTAGTTACCAACATTTCAAAATTCATTTCTCAAAACGTTAAAAAAAATTTTTTTAAGAAAAAATGCCGTGTCAGCAAAATCAGAAATTGAAAAAATTAAAGGATTGGGGGAAGATTGCAAATTGGGCAAACAGGAATTAATTAAGCATGCTATACATGTTTTGTTAACGACTAGAGATGAAGGATCGACAGGACATCGAATTGAAATGGGTTGGATTGGTGAAGATTCGAATAATGGTTTTGAGGTTTTTTCTGAAATTTTTGATTGAAAATTATTAAAAAAATTTTTTAGCAAATTGACCAGTCAGAGGTTGTCAAATTAGAGAATCAAGTTAGTAAGGAAATTGAAGAGGAGGATGATTAGAAAATTTTGCTAATGTTTTGTTGTTGTTCTGATTTTGTGCAAAAATTTTTTCAGATAAATTTTTAAAAAACTAAACGATTATTTTTATTAAGTATTTTTAAGAAATTTCTTTATACTTTTTTCACATTTTTTTATTAATTAAGTTATTTTTTTGGATTTTATAGAAAAACAATTGCCGTCTTTTTTGTAATCAAGAATGTTGTCAGAACCTCCAAAGGAAGCTGAAGGGCCCGAAGAAGGCCAAACTACTGCATATGAATATTACAAACGTATAGGTCTACTCTTATTAAATTTTTAAAATTTTTTTATAAAAATTCCGTCGTGTGTTTCGGTCTCCGATTCGGAAGGATAGAATGTTATTTTAAGGGGCTATTCTAGATGAGTCGAATGACACCAAATTAAGCTATAACTGATTTTTCTTATTTTAAAATGAGCCGGGCATTCGCGACTTTTTCGATTTTCAGGGGACTGTATCTCGGTCCATGAGAACGCAGCTTAATTTTGGAGTCGTTCGACTCTCCTCGTTGAGCTCTGCCGTATGGCATTGTTTGTCCAAATGGGAGATTTGATGGAATTGAACCAATTTTTAATTAATTTTTTAGTTAATGAACTTAACTTGTCTGGTGCTTTTTATCGTCAAAAGGATGTTTCCCCAGCTGCAAAGGATTTTATTACTTCAACAAATAAGGACCCAGTCTCTTTACTGAATATTTATTCAACAATTAGTGGAGAAGTACCTTTTAAATTTTTTGAATATGAATTGGTTGGACGTCCTGACAAAAAGTTGACTTTTCTCTTTTAAAGGTTTTTTAATTTTTTTAGTAAATTTCTGATTGTTTCTGAATTGGATGGCCAACCAATTTTTGGTTTTCCTTCGGCGTCCAAAAAAGATGCCAAAAAGACCTGTGCTGTTTGCATTCTTGAAAAGCTTTATTTGGAACAACGCGTTTGTTTTCTTTATCTTTGCTTCGGTAAAAAATCAATTTAAGCTCAATTGTCTGAGCAGCTCTGGTCGAAAACTCAAGCATCCAAATCGCCATCCTCGTCCACTTCCATTTACTCCTGTTCCAAAACTGGATGAAGATTTGGGCAAAATTAGCGCTGAGTTTTACCAACAGCCTTTATCTGTCGATCCACAGATGGCTTTGTTTGCTGAGGATGTTGATTTCGATGGTCCGATTGGTCCTAAACTTTTGGAAATGAAACAGGTTTTTTATAATAATTTTTGGTTATATTTTTCAGTTGGTGCAGGCAAAATTTCGGGGGCTGTAGGCGAAGAAAATCTGACTACGAGCTTTTTATATTTTTCTCTACGATTCAGAGAAATCCCGGATCCGGTCCGGTTCTATTTACGAATTCTGATAAACTACTAATGAATTGCTTAGACGAACATTAGTATTCAGGCCCGTAACCAGGATTTTTTCGAGGGCAGCCAATGTGGAAAATTTTTTCTGCGCCGAATTTTTGGCGGTTAAAAAGTGGCCCCCCTACCCCTTGTTTATGGGCCTGCTAATATTCATTATTTGAGATTTTTCAATTACTTTTAGTTTAGTTCTAGGATTTTTTCCGTCAATCAATAATGTCCGCAATTTTAGAAATTTTGTCCGCTTAAAAATAGTTTTCTAATTTAAAATTATTTCAGAACTTTGAAGAACAAAATCCAATGCCGTTAGATTACAAAGACAAGGAGAAATATGAAGATGTTCGCAACAGAGCTTTTAAACTTTTTTGTGAAAATGCATTTTGGGCTGAGTTAAAATTGTGTGAATCTACAATTGAAAAGCTTAATGCAGCTGGAATGTGGCATGAAAATTGGAATTCTATTGCTTATGTTAGCCAATGTATTATGCGTTTAAATTCTTGGAAAATTAGAGAAATGAATGAAGAACAGAAACAACGGCAAGAAGAAACGACTGAAGGGTTTGAAATTAATTTTTTAAATTTATTTAGTATAACCTGAAGAAAATCGGGTTATTGTCTGTGGGGCATTTACGGGTTTTTTCCCATTTTTTTGTTTTTCCCCATTTTCTTTCGATTTGATTTTGGCATCAATTTATTCATTAAAAGTCCTAAAAACAAGAAAATAGGCAAAAATTAAAAGAAGGAAAAAGCCTGCAAAGAGTTTTTAAGGCTGCTAATTTTTTCAATAATTACCGTAAATGTTCCAATAGAAGCCCTGGGTGTTATTTTCAATGGGTCCCAATAGGTGGGCTTCTTGGATTCTATAAGGACATTGGGCTTCTATTGGAGCCGGGCTTCTATTAGAATATTTGCGGTATATTTTTCTTTAACTCTAAACAAAACAATTTGTTCAAAAAAATTTTCGGTGAATTTCTTTTTAAGTTCCAGGGGAACCTGGCCAAAATTATTTTATGACAAGTTCCTTCCTTTTAATAATTAAAATTTTTTAGACAGGAGAAATCGGAACAAATGGAAATTAAAGAACCGAAGAAGGTGGAACTTCCAGAATATTTTGTTTTTACATTGCCATATCTTCCTCCGTAAGAAAATTTTTTTTCATTATTTTCACAATTTTCATCCATTTCTAGACGTTATGCTTGTGTTGCTTTATTCAATGAAGGACTTTTTCATGGTCAAATTTCTAATTCAAAATCAAAGGCAAAAGCTTGTTGTGCTGTAGTTATTGCACAAAATTTGATTGAAAAGGGTTGGACTAATCTTGGAAAGAAGAAGGTTGAACGTCCAAAATCTGTTAAAAGCCGGCCTACTCAAAAGAAGCGAAAGAAGGAACCTTCGGAGGTTTTTTTATTAAAGAAAATTTTTTTATTAATGAATGGGAATGATGGAAGATCTTTTAAAGTTAGGGAAAAAATAATGGCTCTTGTTTAAATTATGCGTCCAATCGACTTTTACACGTCCACTCAAATTTTTACACGTCCAATCAATGGCGATAAGTAACCGGTTCTGCACTTTAGTATCATAAAATTTATGGAGCTTTACTCACCCAGAGTTATGGTACATACCAAGGCTGGCCCAAATCTAGAAATAAAATGCGAAATTAGCCCAGCACTGGAACACATGCACAATACCGGACCTTATGTTCTAATACGCAGAGCCGGGTACTTATCTCGCCATAGATTAGGCATAGATTAGGAAATAGGTATATAAATTTGTTTGCACGTATAAACTTTTCATTGGACATATAAAGGTGCGATTGGATTCATAATCTTGACAATAGCCAAAGTAATCTTTATAAAATAAAAATTTTTTTATATTTTTAAAGGAAGATTTGGTATCTATTGAAACTAATTCATCTGGAATTCGTCCAATAGAATTTCAGCCATACCAATTTCTTTTGACATTACATCCAAATGAAAATCTTGATCCTCGTACACATTTTCTTCTTGCAACACATGCAAGTAAAAATGCAACGGTTCTTTTAACTGAAATTTGTGCAAAGTATCGATTGGGGGCGCTTAGCTATAATGAGATTAGTGAAGTTGGACCGAGGTTATTTTTTATTTTACTTATTAAAGTTTTTCCATTACCTCCACCAGTTACGCTCTTGGATATGAGAAAAATAACAGTAGAAAAGTTTTATATATTAATATTGTCAAAAGTGAAAGGCCTGTTTTTTAGAGTTTTACTATAATAGTTTTCCTTTTCCATTTTTAGCAAAGAAAAGATTTAGGGTCTGGTTTAGTTTAGTAGTCCAATGAGGGTTTATGAGTCCGTTCAAAGTTTATGAGTTTAATGAAGGTTTGTGAGTCCGAACGAAAACCTATGTGTTCACAAGGGCGTAGCCAGGGGGTCGATTTCGGGGGAAGGGGGGGGGGTCCCTTGGATATGACCTTGTGAGTTCAATAAATTTTCGAGTTTTTGTTTGTTTGGACTTTTGATTGGACTCATAAACCTTGAATTAACTAATAAATTTTCATTGGACTACTAAATTAGACCAGAGCCAATATTTATTTTTTTAAGATTCATTGCTGATGCAATAATTTCGCCGTATCCAATTCCTGGTGTTCCATTGGAAGTATTGGGAGGACCTCTATTTCAAGCGCGTGGTGTGCCAGAAAAGAATAAGAAAAATGCAAAGGCTTCAGCTTCTCGTGCTGCACTTGATATTTTGGTTCGCAAAGGGACAATTCAAATTAATGAGGTTAAATTCTTTTGGATTTTCTTTAAAAAATTTTTTAATTCTCAGCAAAACTTTGATGAGTTCAAAACGTTTGTTAAGGCATTATTTTTTGAGGATATTCCGTCAATGGCCCAGGAAAATATTTATAATGAGAATGTTAATAGAGCTGAAGTTGTTGTCAGCACAAACTCGTAATTATTTAAAATTGATTAATGGTAATTTTGAATGCCAATATTTGATGGTTAATTATATTTTTTCTTTGTAAAATCTATTCAAATTTTTTGTAAAATTATCTTAAAATATTTGGATTTTATTTGGTAAAAATATTCTTGAAAATTATTTAAATTATTTTAAATCTATTTTTAAAATATACAATATTTTTAAAACTACAATAAAATCTGGTCAGGATTTTTTAAATATGAAAAGACAACTTTGGTGAATGTACATATTTTACTTAAAAATATGTCAGAAAAAGAGGTTCATAATTTACTACTATTAGTGGAGAATCTTAAGATGGGAAATTTGGGTATATTTTAGAAAGCAATGCCAATACTGATAAATAGAAAAATCAAAAGAAAATTCGAAACAGGAATTCCAACAGGTTACCTACTATCTGAATCTAAAAATTAATTTTTCTTTTGACATCCCCGAATCAAATGGTATATACATATTATCGTAAATACCTCGGGCCTTACTATTAGAATTTTCTTGAGAAAAGAAAGGCCTCAAAAATCAATTAATTGTCATCGAAAACCAACTTTCAATTTTTTCCATCCCTCTTTTGTCTGCTTCACACGTCAATTGATTCAATTTAATACGAGTTTCACACAAGGGGAATTTAACTTTAAGATTTCCAGAATGCCATATTGAGACATCTAATGAAATTTCATTGACAGAAACTCCGTGTAGAATAACGTCTTTTAGCGAATAACAAATCTGTTAAATTAAGGGGAAATTTTAGAAAAAAAAATTTCAAAAAAAAACCTCTTGATTATATGTTGGATTTTGTGTATTTTTAACAACTCTTGTCTTCCTTTTCCAATAACGAGGGGCAAACAAAATACTGTCATCCTCCTCTCCCCAACGCAAATAAGTTTTTACATAACTGTCTGGGGATTGATCACGACTAACTAAAGGTAAATTTCTTGCATGACCAACAAAGATGCGTAAATCTGCTTGATCTAATAAAGTAATCCGAAGAAGTACTTGACAATGGAAATTTAAATCTGGCAAAATGTCTGGTATACCTGTGAAAAGAAAATTGGGAAAAATTTAAAAGCAAAAAAAAATTTGGTTCTACTTGACTTTATGAGTCCAATCGAACTTTATGAGTCCAATCGAATTTTATGAGTCCAATCGAACTTTCTGAGTCCAATTAAAATTTATGAGTCCAAATAAAACTTTATGAGTCCAATCAAAATTTATGAGTCCAAACAAAACTTTATGAGTCCAATCACATTTTATTAGATTTTATTAAATAATACATTTATTAAATAATATGTACAATAAAAATGAATAGGGTTATGTTGTTAGACCTATGGAGTATAGGCGAGACGCTTGTGCAAAACCCGGCACGCGCCTCGCGGAGTCAACGGTCGCTGGGTTCTGGGTCGGCAACATAAACCTATCCCTTTTCTCATCACGAGCTTTGATCTGACGACCTACCCCCGTAGCTCACAAAAATCTGATTGGATTCATAAACTGTGATTGGAATCATAAACTGTAGTAGAACCACAATTTTTACTTAGAATAATAAGACATGTCTGATTTATAAAATTTGTTTGGACTCATAAATTTTGATTGGACTCATAAAGTTTTGTTTGGACTCATAAATCTTGATTGGACTCATAAAGTTCGATTGGACTCATAAAGTCAAGTAGAACCAAAAATTTTTGGAGTAGACTATCAATTTTTAGAATTTTCTAGAAGCGGTTTACCCGAGGACTATCAATTTCGACATAAATGAAAAGTATCTTACAACAAAATTATAGTTAGTCGCTTATTTAGAAAGAGGGATTCCATTTGGAAGTACAGACGAAGCTTTCTAATTCGAATTATGCGGAGAGGTATCCTGGGTATTTTTTTACCTGACCATTTTGAGCTTTTTTCTTCACTCTTTTCCTAATACAAGCCTCATAAATTTTAAAAATCTTTTATTTTTCTTGTCAATATCAAATTACGTATATTAACTAGTGCGAGAGTTATCGCTTTAGAAAGCTTCGACTGTCTACAATTCCAACTCACATAAGTCGTGAGTTAGGATTTATATTTAAAAAGTTTAAGAAAAAAAATATAAACCATTAATCTTCCGACTTTCAGGTTCAGTATCACGAAAGAGAGGGTGCAAAAAAGTATAGACCAAATCACAGTGTGCAACTTCATCAGAAAGTTTGAACAATTTTTGAAGGAAAACTTGAAGTTCGGGCTTAAAAACAAAAATTATATTTTATAAGAAAATTTCTAAATTTACCACACGTCGAATAGCCACTTCTCTAACATTTGTTCTTCCAAGAATTGTAACAGTTTGTGATAGGGAAGGAATGGCTCTAATAGAAAAACGATAGCAAAGTTTTAAGCGAAGTTCTTCAAATTCTTGATATGATCTTTAAAGTTTTTTTAGAAAAATTTTTGGAAAAAATTCAAAAAATTTTTAGGAAAATTTTCGGAAAAAAAATCCAAAAAAATTTTTAAGGAAAATTTCTTCAAAAAAATTTCTTAGAAAATTTTCTAAATTAAACCTGTAAATCTCTGTCGGGACATTTTCATTTACCCTTCTAACCAACAATTTATACATCTAAAAATTCAAAAAATAATTTTTTAAATCCCAATCTCTCTCTTACATAAACTTTTTTTGAATTTTCTGACCATTTATCAAAAGAGCTAACCACAACAGAATCTATTCTTCCATCATTCTTTTCCCTTTAAAATTTTATTTAAAAAAATAAAAATTAAATTTACGTATATATTTCAGATATAAACGATAATCTATTCATATCATCAACTTTTGAAACTCCAAAAATTTGTAATGGATTTCCTTTAAATTGAGCAATTGTATGTGCTAAAAAGTTGAGACGAGGGAACCAGCCTTTGAAAAAATTGAATTTTTTTAAGATTTTTAATAGAATTGGACTTGGGGGATTTTTAATAGAAGTGGACTTTTGGCCCTCACTATTAGAGTTGGAGGCCCGGCCCAGTCCGAAAGATCGAGTCGGGCATCGATTTTGGTCCGGAAAAGACTCGGTCGGGCCGACCCGATAAAAATGAAGCCCGAAAAATGATTCTAATCAACTCGAAAAACCCAACCCTACTCACTATAAAATACACTAACAGGCTAAAAATTATTCCACAAGTAAAATGAGTACTTTGTAACGATTCTTCAAGTTTTTGTGTAAAAAGAACTTTGGCTTGAACATCATTCATGTCTAACATTAAATTGTTTTCCACATAATCCTTTAACGATTAATTTAAAAAATTTTTTTCTAAATTCAAAAACAAACCACAGATTCCATACACATTCCAGGAATATCAGAACAAGAAAGAAATCGTATCATATTTAACAAAATTGGACGATTTTTGCGTAATAAATTAAAAGCTTCACAACATTCATCAACAAAACGTTGAAAATTTTCTGTTGTATTTTGACCACCGTTAATTGCAAAAGCCATTTCTTTTGTAAAAACAAATGGGACTCTGTCACTAGAAAAATATTAAATTTTTTTAAATTTAAAAAATTTTAAAAATAAAACCGGCTAAATATTCCAGCCATTTGTTTATCACCCATATATTTGCCAAAATCGATGTGAAACATATGCCCAGTTGTTGTTAACATAATGTTGTCATTGTGCCTAGAATAAATTGATTGTAGTTTAAGTATTTTGTAATGAAAATTTGGATTTTGAGAACAAAGGAGCCAATTTTTCTAGTCAAATTTGCGGGTAAACATCGGGAGTTGTAAATTTCTATCTCCAATAGAGCTCAAGATGGTTGGCCGAGACCAAAGCACGGGTTTTTCTATAGGTCTCTAGACATTTTTGGAACTTCCTGTGGTTACCCTGGCGAGTATCTGAAAAAATTTTCATATTGAATAAAAACACCCCCAGGAAAAGTTCGATCAAAAATCCGTAAGTTTCAAAAGAAAATAAAGAGAGGAATTCAAGGGAATTTTAATTATTTTTAGATCTCAACAATAAATTACTACAAACCTATCTCCAATTCCTAAAATATAAGTTGCTACGCACCAACCAGCACAGGAACGTCGAAAGTTTTCTAGTGCCTTAAAAATTATCAAAAATTTTCTTAAAATTAATTTATAAAAAAATACCGCTTTATATTGAAATTCAGAAGAATTATTTTTTCTAAGCCAATTAAGGAGAACAATATCTTCATATACAGCTTTAACTCCAGTACCCATCTCTTCTTGAATTTCTTTTATAGTCCGACAATCTGGGACTAGTTCGATCTAAAAAAATTTGATATTAGAAGAAAATCATTTAAATGTCGTGACCCGGCGATAAAAAAAAATCTAAGAAAAAGGTGATAGAGAACGACCAAAAATATTAACAACACCAGATTCACACCAGTCAATAAGTAGTTGAGTGACCCAGGTTTGTGTGTAAATCTCGAGGCAGTCTTGCCCAAGGTGTGAGCTTTTCTTGTATTCAGGGGCCAGGCTCAAATTTTTTTAGAGCACCCTAGGTTCTTCTAAAAAAGAAGCCGGGCCCAAGTCAGTAATTAGAACCATTGATTTTCTAGAATTTTTTCAAGAAAATTCAAGAAAAAATTCAAAAAAGCAATTTTTCATTTAAATTTTCTAAAAAAACAAACCAATCCTTTATCCTTTCCTGTAGGCATACACCGAAAAGAAATAATTCTCAAATCGAGTTGTTCACTTAACCAGATATCATTCATAACACGCACTAATTGAGTAACAACAGCATCTTGTCTTAAATCATCTCCAGCCTTTAGAAAAAAATTATTTTGAAAATATTTATTTAAGAAAACCTTATAAATTATTCCAAAAGAATTACGTTTGCCTTTAAAAACTATTTTTATTGGTTTTGTTTTTGAACTGAAAATTGAACAGTCATCTATCTAAAAAAAGGAAAAAAATATTAAAAAAATATTTTTAAAAATTAGGATTCCAAGGAGCATCTAGCCGAAAGTTACGTAAATAAAAAAAATAAAATTAAAATATTCAGGAAGCTCAAGACTTGCGAAATAGTCTATTTTTAGAGCTTCCTAGGTTTTTCCTGGACTCAAGCCCGGCACAAACTAAAGGCTAGAATTAAGTATTGCAAGTTGTTATAACCCAACTAACAAGGGAACCTATCGAACTGTCACCAAAAATTTCGTAAATATTTTTGCACCATCGTGTAGGGCATGGTCGAAAACTTATTGTAATACCTCAATTTCGAAAAGTTATAGGCGTTCAAAGTTTTTGTAAACAATTTGTAGAAAAAAGAGAAGGACAATGAAAAAGAACAAAGAAACCCTTCAAAAGACTAGAAGATTCACAAAAACAAAAAACCCTATAAATTAAAAGCAAACTCTTACCGATAGCGATTTGCAACAAAAAGAAGTAGCAATTGGAATGCGTAGATTAGAAAAATCAAAAACATCCAAAAATTGAAAAAGTTTTTTTTTTAAAGTTTTAGTCTAAAAAAATATTTTCAAAAAATTTTATTTAAAATTTAAAAATACCGCTGAATCTCCACATTCCTTAACTATTAAAGAAATTTTATCAATTTTATCCAAAAATTGTTGTTGAAAAGCTATTTCATCTTCCAAGCTTGGTATGCCTAAATCTAAAAGCATTTTTTGGAGTAATTTGCAACGTGAAGCAAATGAAGGACTTTTAACATCTTGAATTCTTGTTTGAAGCTGCCTAAAAGTTAAAAAAAAAATTTTAAAAAATTCAAAAAAATCTTCTAAAAAACCAAAAAAGTTCCAAAGCAAATCTTCTATCTTTAGTTGAATGCTCCAACAAAAACAAAGCCAAAGCAGAATCTTCAAAAGTTTCAAAGCGTAGAGCTTCCACAAATTGGGTAATTAAATTAAAAATAAATTCAGAAGAAGCCTGCTTAATTGATTTAATAGCATATTCACGGACATAACGATCTTGAAAACTGAAAAAAATGGCAAAATTTTAAAGTCAAAATATCCAAAAAAGACTCACTTCGGTAAAAGCAACTCCAAAGCAATTATTGGAGGCAATGGCGCCCATTTTTTAAGAAGAGCATAAATATTGCCCAAATTGTAAGTACCCCATGTAGCAGAGCTGAGAACGAGAGGTAAGGCACTTGGGAATTGATGAAGAAAGTGACGTTCAGACCAAAGAAGTTCGCGATCGTCTTTGGTCAATCTAAAAAAGGAATTTTTAAGAAAAATTAATTTTTGAAAGCTCACTTAAGGCTAACAGCACTATCTATAAGGCTTTGTAAAACTTCTTGTTTTTCAGGTTGTAAGGCACCAAAATCACGCCAATGCCTAAAAATTTTTAAAACTATTTAAAAATTTACTAAAAAATATTACACTTCACTAGGAGTTATATCCATCGGAAATCGAATTCTATAATCATATTCTAACGCTTTAACAAATAGAATGATTTCATCAGAATCGCTAATTAAAGGTCTAGGTCCCCAAGGGTGAACTGTATCATTATTCATTTGGCACATTGGAACAAGTAGAGGGCCTTGAAGAAGGAAGCTGAAAACAGTAAAACTAAGTTTAAAATTTAAAATTGAGTCTCTGACATAACCCACCTCTCGGAAAAATAAATCTAACGGGCAAGGGCGTATCCAGGGGGGGGCTGGGGGGGGCTAGAGCCCCCCCCGAAATGGGGGAAAGGGGGAAAAAATTAGGAGAAGGATGGTCGAAAAAGTGAAATTTTTTCGCCTACAACCCTCCAATTTTAAAAAATTTTCGCCTGCGGCGCAAAAAATGGAAGAAATCTGGCTGCTTGAGCTCCAAAATCCTCGAAATTTTCGCCTGCGGCGCTAAAAAGTGAACTTTTTTGGCCTACGGCCCTCCAAATTAAAAAATTTTCGCCTGCGGCGCTAAAAATGAAGAAATCTGGCTTCTTGGGCTCCAAATTCCAAAAAATTTTTGCCTGCGGCGCTGAAAAAGTGAAATTTTTTGGCCTACGGCCTTCGAATTTAAAAAAATTTTCGCCTGCGGCGCAAAAAACTGAATTTTTTTGGCCTACGGCCATCTAAAATTAAAAAAATTTTCGCCTGCGGCGCTGAAAATATAAAAAGTTATGTACAAAAAAAAATGCCGTAGGAACGCCAAGGTAAACGCCAAAAATTTTTGCGCCCACCCAGTGTTAGCCCCCCCCCCGAAACCGACCCCCTGGATACGCCCTTGCTAACGGGATAAGTAAGAGATTTGGATAAATAGAGAAGTGACCAACACTAGAAACAAGTCAGAGATGTGCCAAAAGATTTTAAAAAGCAAAAAACGAAAAGGTGGAAGTCAAGAAAAGAGCCGAAAAGACGAAACACAAAAAAGGTGAAATTTTGGCTCAGACTTATTTCAGGCACACCCTTGAAAGAAGTCTGCCTTAGCTTTGCTTAAGGCAATTAAAAAGTCAAACTCTCCGACTGAAACAAATTGTGAGGTAATATAAGTTAAAGAGACCCCAATATATGTAAAAAAATCATACCCATCAATATTAAATAAAGGTAAATTGGCAAAAGCAAGTCTTTTCTCATTGTTTGTATTGTTTGTTAAAGTTAAATGTTCATTGCTTAAATAATGTGGAGCAATTAAAGAACTGCTGCTGCTACTAAATAATTCATTATGTGTTGTTGTTGAACATTCATCTCCAACTACGGGGACACCACACAAAATAAAACATATTTGAACTTCACGAGGCAGATAAGGGATGTAAACATCAAAATCATTCTGCAAACAAAAAATATTTTTTTTAATTTTGTTAGGTCCAGAAAAATTTCCAAAAGGCAAAGAAAATGTTTTTTAAACACCCTAGTAATGTCTTCTTAAAACTTTTCATAAGAGCTTACTTCTCTCCATCTCAAACAAAAAACAACCCAAATCTTAATTTAGTTTCTAACAAGGGCGTAGCCAAGAAGGCTTCTGGGGCTAAGACCCCCCTCCTACCCACCCCCCGGTGTCCGGAAAATTGGGCTCTGGAAAATTGGGCTCTAAGATTTTTCGGAAATTTGGGCTCCAACTTTTCTGAAAATTGGGCTCCAGCGGTAATTTGGGCTCTGCGTGAAAAAATCGGAATATTGGGCTCTAAAATTTTGGGCTCCGGAGGAATTTTGGGCTCTGAGGAAAAATGTCAAATTATGCAAAAATTGGAGATGAGTCTTCGAAATCGGGAGATTTTGCGTGTACGCCCAACTGTTCTTGGAAGGAATAGGATTTCTTTATCAAATTCCACTGAATCGGACCGACCAATTTGAACCAATTTGAGTATACTTTAAAGAAATAGGGCCAAGTACTTACCCAGACCAACTGGCCGTAGGTTCCGAACCCAGAAATCGACTTCGCTCCGTAGGTTTGCATAATTTGACTTTTTTCCTCAGAGCCCAAAATTCCTCCGGAGCCCAAAATTTTAGAGCCCAATATTCATTTTTTCACGCAGAGCCCAAATTACCGCTGGAGCCCAATTTTCCGAAAAGTTGGAGCCCAAATTTCTGAAAAATCTTGGAGCCCAATTTTCCAGAGCCCAATTTTCCAGAGCCCAATTTTCCGGCACCCCCACCCCCCCCCCCGAAATGGGGGAAGGGGAAAAATTTAAGGAGGGGCTGGCTACGCCATTGGCTTCTGAATAAATTCTAAACTTATCCGTCCCCGAAAGTCAAGGAAATTTCATTACTTGGCTTTTATTCTGTCCTCTAAAATGTCCCCCTCCCTCTCCCTTCCAATAAAGAACAACCTTAATTTTAATTAAAAAAATTTTTTTTCCATACCCAAAGTTGAAAAGGCACAAATTTAAAGCCATGTTTGTTCACAATTTGTTTCGCCAAACTTTTACAACGACCAAAAGAATTTGGACCATACATTAAATGCATTTCAAGATAAAAAGACTTGTAAAGAGATTTCCAAGAGTTTGGCAAATTGTGTGCAGATTCAACACTAATAAGCAATTTCTCATTGCAGAGAGCACTATCTCGAATTGAAGAAGTTTCAATTAAACCCAAAGGATCTGTGTTTATTGAAAAATCAGCTAGAGAAGAACAACAATAAGCACGAAAAAGGTGAATTAATGAAGTTATTATAAAATTGACTGCTTCGTGTAATGAATTTAAATTGTTGGCAGAATAAAGAAGATCTATAGCAGAAACAAGTTCTGATGTTTGAACGTTGTTTGTTCTGTTGGTTAATAATCTGGGAAAAAATTTTTTGGCTTCGAAAATTATAAAAAAAAATTTTTTGATAAATAATTTGGATATTAAAATTTTTTATTGTTTGTAACCCCTTCCTACAAGTTCAATTTGTGACAGCTTTTCTTTAAACTTTTAAATAAAGTAATACCCCGTCCCCGAAAGTCAAGAAAATTTCATTCACTTTCTCCCGCCTTTTACAAGCAATTAACAGGCCTCTATCCTAACTGTATTTATTAATTTTCTATTTTTTAGTATTATTCGATAGAGCATAGTCAATGACCTATTGTCAATTTTTGGCTTTGAAGCCATTCACGGATAGTTATGGGTCATCAAAGTTATAATTTTAAATTGAACCTCGTATAAAATTTTATTTTCGTTCTCCTATCATTAACTACAAGCTTCCCCTCCCCTTTTTTAAATTAATTTCTTACTTAATAGATTGTAGAACAGGTTGGCGTAATTTTTTGTCTTCTGGATCCGCTAAACAATTCGTTAAATGTTTGGTCAGGTTTTGGACTAAATTGGTAAATAATTCCTCATTCAACGTCTGATTTGTAGAAATTGTTCTTTAGAAATTTTTAAAAATTATTAAAAAATTTTTCAAAAATAAAATTTGAACCTTGAAATTAATCGATTATTAGTTTTTATTTTTGGCAATATTTTTCGACCAACTTCCAAATCCACATCTTTTCCGCCTGCTAAAAATTGTGCCACAAATAAATTTTTGCCTCAAAAAAAAAATTAATTCATAAAAAAGCATCTTAAAAAACCTATTGGTGCATCTGGAACCAAAAATTCATCAGTTCCGAATACTTTTAAAGCATAATCGTTAAGTGGGATTTGGCCTTCATTACGTTGAATTTCCTCTTGAGAAAGCAACCTTATCAAAACTTCAAGAAGAATTTCATCGGTAGTTTTCTTGACAGCACAAGCTAGCTCGAAAGATTGCAATTCTTCGGGTGTGTCACGAGGCCAACTAAAAATATTTTTAATAAATAAGATTAGATATTGAACAGGGATGGGATCTCTTATTTTCGTCCTCCGCAGACTTCCGGCTCCCACTTTTAAAACTGAATGAGGAAAGGCCGGTCCCTGTTATTGAAATTTGAAAATGGCTAATACGACGAAAATAAAGGGAAAAAAATTTTAAAAAAATTTGTGAACTAGAATAAGTCAAAAAACCTTTTTTCTGACTTTTTCGCCCCGAGTTCGTTTTTTAAAAATGTGGAAAGGTCCATCCCTGGTATTGAAGTCTGAAATTGACTTAAACCAGGGAAAGTGGATGAGAAAAATTGAAAAAAAAATTTTTTTTAAAAAACGAAAAAAATTCCTTCCTTGCAAAAATTTTGTACAATTTTTTAAAAAATAAAAATAAAAACAAACGTATCGTCTTGATGAATATGTAATTTAATTGTGTCAACAGGCGTTACAAAATAATCAAGTACTGGAGCAAGAAAGAAAACATTTTGCGAATTATTATTTGAGCAAGTTCGAATTCGAGGTGAACGTTCATAAAGTAATTGTTTCTTAAAAAAATTTCTTTTAAATTTAAATATTTAAATATTAAAACAAACCTCTTTGTAAAAATCACAAGACAATTCTTGACGTGTATTGAAATCATCACAGGCAAGTAACCTTTAAATATAAAAATTACATAGAAAATAAATCATTCAAAAATTTTAAATTAAACTTTTGAACGAATTTTGTAAAAAATAGAATTTTATTTTTTAATCTTAAATTAAATTTAAAAAATAAATAAAATTAGTAGAGTTGAACCCGGGCAGGACCAACTAGCAAGAAAAAACACCGATACCGAGCCCGACAATGTAAAAATTTTAAATTATCGTTGAAAATTTAGTAATCAAAAACTTAAGTGTCAGTCAGAATACAATTTGTGTGTGCTAAAATTATTTCAAAAAAATTTTAACAATGTTGAATGTTAATAATTCACATTTTGACTCGAATTCTGATTTCCTTAAAATCCTAATACTTATAAAAAACTTTTTTAAAAATTTAAAAATTTATTATTATCATACCTTTGTTGATTTTGTTGTGGTTGTATTTTGTTAGAATTATTATCAGGTGTTGTTTCATCAACACATTTATTAATATTATCTTCAAAATTATTTTTTATTTCTTCATTTGTATTCTTCTGTTGATTCTCATTTCTTTCCATTTCCCTTTTTTGCAATTTTTTGTAGAGAGGATCAAACTTTAAAAATAAATTTTATTCTTAAAAAAATTCACAAAAAATAACCTCCGCAATAGTCAAAGAAGATGCTTTCATGGGTGACTGTAAATCGATCAAATCTCCATTTTGGAAAGGAATTTTGAGTGAAGAGGAGGAATTTGAAGAATTCTGAAACTTTTTTTAAAAGAATTTTTATAAATTTTTTAAAAAATTTCAAAAATTCCTAAGAAAAAGTTTAATCAAAAATTACAAACCTTTTCTGGCGTTTTTACATCCGTCTGAACCAATAGAGGATTAATCAAGTTTGAGTTCATTATAGAAAGTGGAGTAGGTTGAATTAAATTATTAGACCAAAAATCGGGAGAGTTTGGAACAGAGGCGGAAGTTGAAGGGAAAAATTGTTCTGAAAAGTTTAAAATAAATTTTAAAGAAAAATTGATTTTTAAATTAAAAATCCAAAAAAATTTTTAAAAATAAGAAAAAGGCCTTTTCTAGGGTAAAATTTACGAATTTTACGAATCTGAGCTCAGATTTTGTCCTTTTTCTCATTTCTAAATTTTTTTCGAAGAAAACCCTATTCTCCGGGATTGCCGAAAAATTGATTTTTTAATTAAAAAATCAAAAAAAAAATTTTTTAAGGAAAAATAAAAATTAAAGCAACGTTCAAAATGTATTGCTGTTGAAGTAGAAGGAAGTTGAAATTGTTGTTGATTACACAAGTTTGCTGTAAAAGGAAAAATCTGGCCGGTATATTGAGGTTGAATAAAGCATGGTGATTGGGGTAAATAATGTACAGGAGAAAGTGGGACATTTTGGTATGAATCAACTGGCCTGAAAAAAAGTTTTAAAAAACCTCAAAATGAATCAAAAAAACAACTCACTCGTTTTTAGCACACAACATTTGCTTAATTTGTTTAATTTTACGATCCTGTTCGAGCACTTCAGGATTCTCTATAATTAATAAATCAACGTCTCCTTCCCGACTTTTTTCTTCTTTTTTTCTTTCTGCTAATTCTTTGAGGTATGTTTGTCTGAAATTTTTTAAATAAAAATAAAATGAAGAAAAAAATTTAAAACAAACCTACTATATTCTAGAACAAGTTCTAATTCGCGATCGCTCATTTTAATTTGCACTTTCTTACCTTGACAAAAAATGAGTCATTAATCCGCCTACTCGTAAAAGGACGTAAATATTTATTCTCTAACAAAGAGAAATCTTCAATTAACATATACTGAAAAGAAACAATTTTAGGAATTAACAAACAAAATTTAAAAGAAATTTAATTGAGCAACAATTGATAAATCAAAAATTCTAGTTAAAATCGTTGAGACTCAAATGTCTTCTATTTTAACACTTCCGTCGGCCGTTTCAGTGCGAATCTGTTAAGAGTGCACTCGGACGATAAAACTTTTCGCACCAAAACAGACTGATACTTTATAAATAAAATTTTATTTTTTTGGACGTTAGAGTCTTGCTTTGTCAATTTTCTTGGTGTTCTTTGATTTTTGTCCTTGAAATATGAAAAATTCTATTTTTTTTTGCTAACGGTTTGACATTTTTAATTTTTTTCATTGCACATTCTAGTCGCTTTGAGATTACTCATTTAAAATAAATTTTCCCATTGTTTTTAGCTAAAAAAGAGAACACATATGAACGCTGCTAGCTCATTCCTGAATCGTATGGTGGGAACGGCCGCTTCTTTAGTCAATTCTTCAACACAAAATATATTCACATATAATTTAAACCTTCCTTCCTCACAAACTTTAATGACGAGTCCAAATTGTCCTTTGAATTCTCAGGTTTGTTCTAAAATTTTTGAAAATTTTTGGGGATATAGTGTAGTGTACCGGTGGTAAAAGTTCGGGACGTGACATATGTCATTCGATTCGTCTCGACGAGCTGAGTCGAACGGTACCACTCCCTATTTTAGGAAATGATTCTGGACCGAGTTATAGGTCCCTGAAAATCGAAAAACCATAGGGGGGAGTAAGCTCGATTTTGGGGTGAAAAATTCGAATATGCAAATTATACCTCATTCGAAAGAGCTCCTCGAGCTGAGTCGAATGACACCAAAATCAGCTTGATTGAACAAGTTTGAGTCGAGATATAGGGCTCGAAATGGTCAAAAACCATAGGGGGGATTTTGGGGTCAAAAATTCGATTCTACAAATGTTAGCTCATTCGAGAGAGCTCGTCGAGCTGAATCGAATGACACCAAAACCATCTTGATTGCACAAGTTTTGACAAAGTTACGATAGAAAAACTACCAGCATAAACCTATGGGTCGTCGGCGAGGCGCTTGTGCAAGACCCCGCGCTTCGCGCGGGGTCTTGCGGCACGCGCCTCGCGGGGAGTCTACGGGCGCTGGGTCTGGGCTTGTAACATAAACCTATTCCTATCTCCCTTGCTCTGGACGTATTTGGGGCCTCCGTAGCAGCAAAAATCTCCACAGATGCCATAGGTAAGGAGCTAAAACAAACGGTCATAATTTTGTCAAATCAAGTCGGATTTTATTGATTTCGGTGTCATTCGACTCAGCTCGAGGAGCTCTTTCGAATGAGGTATAATTTGCATATTCGAATTTTTCACCCCAAAATCGAGCTTACTCCCCCCTTTGGTTTTTCGATATTCCGGGACCTATAACTCGGTCCAGAATTATTTCCTAAAATGGGGAGTGGTACCGTTCGACTCAGCTCGTCGAGTCGAATCGAATGACATATGTCACGTCCCGAACTTTTACCACCGGTACACTACACTACAGCCATTTTTGGTACTTTTTAAGTTTACTGATCCCTAGCAGGGATCCTGCCGACAAGAAACCAAAATTCTCGATTTCTGGAAACGACCCAAAAAACGTCGGGAATTCTCGATTTTTGAGAATCGGGACGGCCCCCTGGTTCTTAGAAAATTAAGTAGGAAGTGATCTTTCGATATTTTTCGGGCCTGCCGGTAGGTAATCCAGTGTTCTGAGTCTGAATATTAGCTTGAAATTCAGTCTAGTCCTGTCGAAATTCGAAATAACTGAATCTTAAGTTAACATTCGGACTCATGTCAGCGCACTCGATTACTTGCTGTCAACCTTCAAAAATAACACTTCTTGTTCACTTTTTTATGGATCATTAGACTAGAAAATTACTCTAATTTTTAATTTTTCAGGATCGAAAATCAATAGAAAAATGTTATCATTTAATGGAAACTGTTATTCGATTGTGTCAACAGCCTCGAATGTTTCTCAAAAATTCGCCTCCATTCATTCTCGATATTTTGCCTGATATTTACAATCTTCTCAATATAATTCTGACAAATGATCCAAACATTTTACAAAGCAATCTTTATTTACGGTTATTTATATCTAATTTAACCAATACTTGTAAAAGAACTGTTCGGCTATTTCAAAATCAAAAAGAAAAAATTTTTGATGAGGCGACTACTGCGAGGAGGCAATTAACGATGAATTCGCTGATATTTTCTCATATGTTTTCTGAATTAAAAGCAGAATTTCCCGATGGAAAATTTATAGGAAGCCGGTTTAGAATTACTAAAAGACAGGCAGAAGATTTTTGGAATGATTCTTTTGGGGCTGACAGAACAATTGTTTCTTGGGAAGAATTTAGAAATGAACTGAATAAAGTACACAAATTTTGTGTTGGAAATGAGACTCATGCTTTGAAGAATACTATTGATCTCACTTGTAATGGTATAGCTTTTAAAAATTATTTCTGGTTCCTCTAACTGCTGTGTAGGATTGAACCCTTTCTCTTCCTACTTTCTGGTCATGCTCTCCAAAAAATTTTCATAAGGTCGTTATCCCTTCTCTCCCGTCAGTGAGAAACTCTATTGTTTATCAGCTTCTGTTTACTACCTATTTCACTTTTTGCAAGGTCGTGGTTTTCCAGAGAAAAATTCTATTACAATTTTTATTCTAATTTTCCTATATTTTCTGTCAAATCTTGTTGAAAGAAAAGTTTCGCCTCTGATATTAAAAAAAATTTTTTCCTAGATCACATCAGCAACTTTGAATTTGATGTTTTTACCAGGTGTAGTTTTAATTCTATCTCCTAATTTTTCCATATTTTCAGACTTTTTCATCCATGGGATTCTTTACTCAAAAATTGGCAATGGTTAGCTGTTACACATCCAGGTTGTCCTTTATTTTTCAAAATTAAATTTTAATATCAATCTCCAGGTTATGTTGCTTTTATGACCTATGACGAGGTTAAACAACGGCTTCAGCAATATATTAACAAACCAGGAAGGTTTTTTACTAGTTTTTTCAATTTTTTAAAATTATTTTAAGTTATGTCTTTCGATTGAGCTGCACACGTTTGGGTCAATGGGCAATTGGTTACGTGGCACCAGATAAAAAGATATATCAAACAATTCCACAGAATAAATCGTTGATTCAGTCATTGGTAATTGTGTTTTTTTCGTTAATAAGTTCGCGATCCGTTGTTCGCAATTCTTCCGGATATGGAAAACGCGCTTTACTATTTTTGTCTTTTTGGGTCTGCTCCGATCGGATTTTCCGAAGAAATAAAAAATTTATTTCCCTACCTGATCAGATAGCAAGACAAACGCGGATCGACAGCGAATTCTTGGCTCCCATTATTGACTTTATAATTTATTAATGGCCAAAATATTTAGAATATCCTTATGTCATAAATCAAAAATTTTTCAACAAAAATTTAGTAAACATTTCCATTTTAGGTTGACGGCAGTCGTGAAGGTTTTTATCTTTACCCAGACGGTCGACCCAAAAATATTGATCTTTCTTTTGCCATCCAATCAAATACTGAAGGCAAAGTGCATGTATCACCTGAGCAATACCAAATTTATTGCGAGATGGGTACAACTTTTGAAATGTGTAAAATTTGTGATGAACAGAATAAAAATGTTAAATTGGAACCTTGTGGGCATTTATTATGTCGGCCTTGTTTGCATAAATGGCAGGTTTGTCAAAAAAAATTTTTCCTCGCCTTACTCATTAGTCAAAAAATTTTTTTTAAAGGAAAAATCTGATGGTGAAAAGAATTGTCCATTTTGTCGTTGTGAAATAAAAGGAACTGAAAACGTTCTCATCGAATCTTACAATCCTGCAGACTTTAAAAAAGGTTTTTTATTCTGTAAATCAATCTATTTTCCCAATTTTTTAGAAAATAATTCAATAAAATCCAAAACTTCAACAATTTCACCCCCTCCCCGTCCAGAAAGGACTGTCCAGCAAATAATTAATAATCCATTAAATTCACCTTCCTCTCCACCTCCAATACCTCCAAAGCGAGGTGGTCAAAGTGGACAGGTTAATGATAAAGAAGAAAATCGTTGGTCAAGAAAATCGTCAAAAATCGAGTTTTTTTTTTTTAATTTTTTTTCATTTTCCTCTCAAAAAAAATTTTTTTAGACAACAAGATTCAACAGAGGAAAGTGCTGGCCCTTCATTTTTAGAAGAACTTTCGAATGCTAGAGATCGTGTTGGACCTTTTGGTGATTTTATGTGTCTCTCTTGGAATAATAAAAATGAGAATGAAATTATTGGAGGAAATGATAGTGCAAATAATGCTTCAAGTTCAACACAAGGTCAAAACAGAAATTGAAGTTGATTATATATTTATTTCTAATTTTCATATATATTTTTTTGTTCTTTCATTTTCACTCACATACTTTGAGGGGTTGAAACTGAATTAAACCAAAAAATTATTTATCCGAATTTTTTCCGATCTTTTGTCAGATTCTAGGTTTTTCTTTATGGAACCAAGTCAAAGGGTCTAATGTGGAATACTAATTGTAAACCCCCAAAAGCTGCCAAAGTTTTAGAAATCTTTGTTCTATTTTTGGGCAAGGTTGTTCCAATTGCGGAATTTTCGGAAATTTATGGGGGTTGGTATTTCAGCGTCTTGTTATTACGACATCACACATCTGTTGGGGATGAACCTAAAATATTTTTTATCTTAAAATTCTATAATTATACTTAATTTTTCGTTTGTTTCAGCCCTGTTTTTTTCTTACTCTAAGCATTTCAATAATTATATTTTCGCATATAAATAATCTCTATTGCAAAAATATTTATCTATACTATTTAAATAATGCAAATATCAAACCAAAAAATATTTTTTTTTCATATTGTTTTAAATTTATTATTTTAAATTAAAGAAAAGTTCAAAAAAATTTTATTTTTACAAATGATTTTATTTTTCAAATTTTATTTTTTTAAATTTTTCGTTTACTAATTTTAATTTAAAATTTATTTTTCAGTTTTTATATATATGACAGATTTCAAAAGATTATTTGCACATACTTCCCTTGAAAAATTTCGAATTAAATATATTTATTGTGCAATGATGAATGAGGTTTTTCTTTAAAAATATTTTCAGATAATTATCTTTGCTTTTAGGTGTTGCCTGGACTTTATGTTGGAGGTTTGAGGTTGTCATAATTAAGTTTAATTATTAACCGCCCATTTTGCATGGCCCATAAAAGGTGAGCGAGAATCGGCCAAACAAGTTCATTTGCCCAATCTCAACTCCGACCAAAAGTTGGCCGGTTCTCCCTCCCTTATATTTTGTCAAATATATTTGTTAAATAAAATCTTAAAAAGAAAGCTTTCCATTTAATCGGTGGTTCGGCGCGCCCCAAGAGTGGGTTTCCACTCTTGGGGCCCAACGTCGACTAGTTCTTGTCTATAGAACTAGGATATATAATAGAGGTATCTTTTGATTTTTAATTTGATATTTGGTTTTTTAAACTTCAAAACTGTTGGCACGCGGACATATCGGGACGGACATATCTGGATATTTCAATGTTACTGATTTCGGGACCTACGGCCACTGGGTCTTGGATAGTATAGTATATTGTCCTCTTGAGGAATAGAGTTTTTATGTTTTAGAACAAACGTAAACAATCAAGAAATTAATTTTCTCACCTCAATCCTGATATGTCTATCCCGATATGTCCGCACACCAAACTGCTGAATATTCTGAAGTTGTCCGCAAATTTAATTTTTTATTTTTTGCAATTACTATTTTATTTTGACTAGTCCCATTAAAATATTTTTTTGTTTTTTCCATTCTTATTTTCTTTAAGATCAGCCAATGACGAAAAGCAATTAACAGAAAATTCAATTAAAGCAATTGTTTCAATTCACAGCGGACCAGGCATTCACAATTTTTCTGATAAATATGCAGTTCTTCATTTAACTTTGGACGATTCGACTGAAGAAAATGTTACTAAACACTTTTCTACTGTTAATTCTTTTGTTCATGAATTTCGATTAAGAAAAGGTTTCTTTTTGTTTTACATTCAAATTGTCCGCATAAAATGTCCGCAAATTTTATTGAGCTTTAAACCTTAATTTAAAGTCGCTTTTTGAGATTTTATTGGCCACTGATGTGAGTAGGGGAAAGGGCTTTTAAACGGTACCCTCCTATTTAGAATAAGATAGATTATTCAGGCACATGGCCAGGAAAATTTTAAGGTGGAGGAGGGATCATTCTTGTAAATGTTCAGCTTTATTTTTTTGGCGCCGAAGGCGTAAATTTTGAGAATTTTAGTTGGAACATTCTCACTCTCTTTTTCTTAAAATTTTTCTTTCAGAAAATGTCCTAATTCACTGTCTAGTTGGTGTTAGCCGAAGTGTTTGTTTTTGTATTGCTTATTTAATGACTGTTACAAATTTAAATTATTCTAATGCAATGATGTTTATTAAAAAGAAGCGATTATGTGCAAATCCAAATTATGGGTTTAGAAAGCAATTGGGAAAATTTGGAGAAAAGGTTTTCTTTTTAAGTTTTTTTTTAATTTTTTTCTTAAATGTCAATCAAAATTAATGGTAATTTTTGAGACTCTAATTTAAATTTCCTTTTAAAAATTTTACCTCCCCCAATCTTCAGAAATTAAAAAAGAGTCGTGGGCAGTGCTTGGACGCTCGTACCAAAATTCTTACTCGTACTTGGTACTTGATACGAGGTACGAGCAAAAAATGGGGGTGGTGCGAGTACGAGAAAATTTAAAGTTTCCAAGCACTGGTCGTGGGAGGAAATCTTTTATGTACTTCTATAATCTAATTTAATTGTTTCTTTGGGTGTCAAATCTCCTCCCTCCCTATTACTAGAGAGTGCTAGCATGGTTAGCTCTTTTTTCTGGAATTTGAGTCCAATATTTTTAATCTTTGTTTTATAAAAATTGGACTCAATTTCTTCCAGAAAAAGTGTCCAAGTTCCATACAAAATAAGTGTCGCTAGCCACAGATTTTTTATTTTTTCTATAAACGTCACGGGTGCAAAATAGGGTTGTACCCCGAACGTTCGGGGGCGGGTATGTCGGGGTACGGGGTTTTCCAATTGTTTCGGGGCGGGGTTCGGGTCGGGGGAGCAAAATATGGCCGGGGTTCGGGTCGGGGTACGGGGGTTTAGTGGAAAAATTTTTAGAGAAAAAAATGCTCAAAAATAATTAGAAATCGATATATTTTCGTTGATTTATTCAAAAATTAAGTAGGATTTGGAGAAATTAGAGGGGATTTGAAGGGATTAAAGTGTATAACATGGGATATAAGTGGATCTGGAGGGATTAAGTGGGATCTTTAGGGATTAAATGGTATATCTAGGGATACAAGGTGATCTGGAGTGATTTTTGTTGGTTCAAGGGATATTAGTGATTTATAAGGATATTGATGTATTGCGGATAAGGGTATTTGCACGGATATCAGGAGATATCTTCGATAAATCATTAAATCTCCCACGAAATCCTTGTTAATTCCGTTATTCCTTTAACTCCCTTTAAAACTCCTTAATTCTTCGATATCCTACAAATCCCTTTATATCTCTGATTCCCGTTAACATGACCTCGATAGTTTACCAACTGTTATGGTTGAGAAGTGGTGATACAGAGGGTTTGAAGGATTAAGGGTGGTTCAAGGTATATCAGTTAAAAATAAAATTAATATTTTCAAATTAAAATTTAACTCGTTAATAATTTGTTTTTGTGAAAAAATATAAAAACAACGAAGTTATCCTTATATGGGTCCGAACCAGGGCTGATCGAAATAAAAATATTTTTTATTTCGAATCGAAACGAAATAAAAAAATTCCTATTTCGTTTCGGAGCGAAACGAAACGAAATGAGCTTGTTTCGGACGAAACGAAACGAAATAAACGAAATAAAATAAAAATTAAAAATTTTTTATTTTTCAGTTCATAAAGGCTTTTAATCGATATTAAAATCATAGATATGCACCCAAAGAGCTAGATGCGTGACAAAAGCATAACAGAAACTAGAGAGGACCCTACAAATCTGCCGATATCCACCTTAATCCCTTAAATCGACATAGATCCACTTTAATCCTCCGATATCCTATTAAAATCCCACGATACTATATTTAAATTCACTTTGGAGTATACCACTTTAGAATCGATCAAGAGAGATATTAAGTGGGATAAAAGAGATATCTTCTATATCCCCCTCCCAAAACTAACGATTCCAAAATCTTAAAATTTTCGCCTGCGGCGCTGAAAAAGGAAGAAATCTGGCTCCATTGATGTCTCCTTAATCCTGTTTGGCCTTACAAAATTCTCAAAATTTTAGTCTCAGGTACAGAAAAATGAAGAAAATACGAGGCTTTAGTGGAGGTAAATCCCTTTAAATTGACATATATCCGCCTTGATCCAATTTGGAGTACAACTCCAGCATATTCAAATCTGGGTTTCAAAATTTTTTTTAATTTTTAGATCACAAATATAAAGATTTAGGACTATGGTAGGTTGGGCGGCGGAAGGCTGGTCTGCTAAACCCGTAAAAGCTTTCTTCCTTTTTACCACCGCAGGAGAAAATTTTTTGAATTTTGGAGCTCAAAAAGCCAAAATTCTTCCATTTCAGCGCCGCAGGCGAAAATTTTTTAATTTTAGGCTGCTCATAAGACAGAAATCACTAAAAAATTAATGATTATTTACTTAAATTCCCGTCATTAGGGGTATATTTTCTCACTTTTTTTTTGTTTCGTTTCGTCCGGAATTTTGTCTATTTCGTTTCGAAACGAAACGAAATAAAATTTTTTTTGTTTCGTCACGAAACGAAACGAAATGAAAAAAAGGGCACGAAAGAGCGAAACGAAACGAAACGAAACGAAATTTCGATCAGCCCTGGTCCGAACCCAATCCTATATTAATGAAATATCGGCTAAAACCAACGACTAAGCCACTCAACCAAAAGTCTCTTAATAAAGAAGGAAAGAAAATTATGATATTTCATTCATTTTTCTTTCAAAAATAATAAAAGCCCAGTAAAATGGGTGGAAATTTTTTAAATTTTCTTCATTAATTTCTCCAAAAAATGACATTTTTTAGGGGATATAAACCCCGTAACCCCGAAACTTTTTGGGCCGGGGAACGGGGTTTTCACTTTTTTTCGGGGCGGGGTTCGGGTCGGGGAGAATCGTGAAAAAATCGTTCGGGAACGGGGTCGGGGTTCGGGGTACGGGGTCGGGGTACAACTCTAGTGCAAAAATTCGAAAAAAATTTTTTCTATAATTTTTTAATTTACTTTTTTTTAAAAAAAGCTTATTTTGGAAGAAAAAAGACTATTTTTTGAAAATTTTGCCAAAACTCAGCTTGACAATTTAATTGAATTATATAACAAAGATTGCCTTTTTGCCAATTGTTTACCTTTAAATGATGAATCTAATATAATAACATTTTTGTCTATTTTGGGATATAAAAAAGAGGAGGTAAAGGAAAAAGAAGAAAAGGTTTGAAGAGGAAAATTCATTTTTTTAATTCTTAAAAAGGAGTAAAAAGGTAAGTATTTTTAAAAAGCCTGGGTCAACTACAATTTGCCGAAAATACAATTCGTCGACACCATTTTTCGCGTCACATTTTTCGCGATTTTCCTTGTATTATATTGACGGTCACCGGTATTCAGAACCGAAAAAATCCCGGATACTTGAAATTTTCGTTTTGGTTCCGATTACGGATACCTTAAGATTTCTCAAGAACCGCTCACCTTGTAGTTGATCCGGAACCGAAGAAACCCCGGATATTCTAGATTTTCTATTCGGTTCCGATTCTGGATACCAGTAGATTTCCCAGGAACCGCTCATTTTAATTATTAGTAGGTGAGCAGGTGACGCACGTGAAAATAAGAAAAATCGACGAATTGGTGTTCGGCTAATTGCGTGGACCCTCAAAAAATACTTTTTTATGTAAATATTTGTTTTGTAAAAATATATATTAGTAACCTTTTTTAGCCCAAAAAATTTAATCTTTAACCTTACCTCTTGGCACTACTTAAAGTGCTTCAATTTAATTTTATTCGTTTTAAATTTTTTTTCTTTAAAAAGCTTTTTTTATAATTCCATTTTTATACTGCCATTTTTTAAAATTACCTACTTTTTTTTTAATTTTTGCATTTGATATCTACTCTATATTTTAAAGAATTGTTTGTTAA